AGTAATTTGCTGAGAAATATGCTATTCATATATTCGCTGTTCAATGAAGCTTGGCTTGAGATAGCTATTCAAATAACTTTCATCACGCATGTAAGCTCAATTATTTCTCCATGAAGTGCCAAGCACTTTGTCATTGTAAAAATTTTGTTTAGATCTTCGAACTTGCCATGGAAACAATAAGTTGTTAGACCATTTATGTGGGAAGTTTGTCAACACATGTACTTTAATTAAACAGTCTTATTTGACATCAAAAGTGAACTGGTTCTACTCGAAAACGTATAGGCTGTTCATGCTAACTGTATTGTATAATTTGAGATCTGTCAGTGGTCTCTGTGAGATGAAGAGAGGGCTGTTACTCAATATTGTCCGCAGCAGGAGCTTCCAATGTGGAATCAAACTTGAAAATCCGATGACAGAGCGTTCGCGACTTGCAAACTTACCATGCCCTAAATGCTAGTCTTGTGGAAACTGGCTATGCTCTTGAATGTCATGTCGACGTCCATAGAGAGAAAGCGTTACCTTATGGAGATAACTAGTCAAATAGAAAGATGCAGGAATACACATCGTGAGGACGAGTCATGCGAAAATAAGTAAAGTCTACAATGGTGAAATTGTGTGTACTGCGAACTTCAAACACTTTTGATGACAATTTTTCGGATGATAAACTCAACATTTTCACGTAGGTCATTCATCAAAAGTAGTTGTCTTCTGCAGCAGAGGGAAAATTCATTGATATCATTGCCATACCCTGTTATAAAAGTTTCTTCTTTATCATTAATGTTTCTGTAATGAATACGGGTAGGCCGATGCCAGTACATAAGGACGATGAATCTATAGATTCATAAATTTTCATGGTTCATTAGTTTTGAATAATTTCGGGAAATTTTTGAAAAGACGAAAGAAGAAGCCTTGTACTCAATTTTCAAAATGTCAAACATTTCGAAATTTTCGACGGAGCTCAGTGCGTATAGAGGCTCTCGTGAAGGGTTTATTTATCGTCCAATTAAAAGGAGCAGGTGAAAAACCGTCGAACACCTGCGGAGTTTTCGCCGACGACAGTCGATCATACGGTAATCATTCCTCATTTTTCCATAATAAAATTATGAGAACAAGATTTCGTAATTATGTAAATGGCAGACTTTTTATAAACCTCGCAAATGTTAGTAAGTATGTAAATCTGTGAAACTGCTGGTGTTGAGCTGATGTGAGAAATGCCGTCGTCGCCTTTGTTGTTGCTGCTGCTATCGCTGTGTTCGATAGCTGACATTTCAACGCCATCTCCTTGATCAGCTATCAAAATACGATAACAGCAACATTAACAACAACAACAACAACAACAACAACAACAACAACAACAACAACAACAACAACAACAACAACAACAGCAACAATAACAGCAGTAACAATAACAACAACAGTGGCAACCGATACCGACTTCAAGTCAGCCCAACGTGGACACTCGTTAACATAGAAACAGATCATTAAGCATTTTCTTGTTTGACATAGAGACTGCTGTTATACATTGTGAGTAATATACAATTTGTGCTACTGAATGTTATCAGTATTACATGCCTTTTAAAGCTGTTCACTGCAGTATTTACCTACTAACTTCATCGCAATCCTTTACGAGGATTATAAGAACATGAAAAACTTGTAATAAGCTCATTCTTTATGATGTTGGAAAAAGCCTCTCAGAAGACGCCAATCTGCTCTTTATCTTTTCCATTGGAAAATGGTGCTTTTGTGGCGAAAGCTAGAAAAGAACAAAATTACAAGCTTCACTTGCCTGTTCACCTTTCGACACTAGGCGTACAAAAGTGCAAGGATTCGGTAGGCCATGTTATCTCCTTGTCACATCGCCAAAAACAATTTTCATTGCTTTCTGATTGGGGGGAAAAAATAAAAAGCCTATCTCATTCGCTTGAAAGGAACCTTTCATGGGGGTGATAGTAACCATTCGAAAGCTGATACTTGACACTACAGCCCCACGTCAGCGACTTTCCAATACACCTCTTTATAACGGTGTAACATTTAAAATAAAATCATGCTTCATAAAGCCACGTGTTTTTCTTTATATCTCACTTTTATTTCGCTGAACAGAACTCCTTATTTGAAGTGCTAGTGCTCAACCTATGGCACAAGCTGCAAAGAACTCAAAGATGTGTTTGTTTTCCAAAAAGCTTCTTTGTTCTTTTGATTTTTTTGGTCTTTCGATTTGTGCTTTGAACCTCGCCGGGCAGGACTCTTTCTTACCTGATAGCGTAACTTGCAAGATTCTAGCGATATGCTTACTTTCTGGAAATACGGTTAAGCAGGTAAGTAACTACTCGACAAGGCGACGGTCGTGGCAGGGGCGTGGCATGGGACGGGGCGAAGCGGGACGATTGATATATTGTTATTCAATTGGGAATTTTTTCTCCGCTTTGAAAGAAACTCCGGATAAAACGATTGAATGAGGTGCAGCGAAAATCTCTCTACACATTGATATGCTTTTCGACTTCTAGCGAATTATACGCATGATAAAAATGAAGGCGAAAGGCGAATTTGAAGCATAATTTTTGATCTGGATGGTACTACGTTATAGAGGTGTGTTTTAAAAAATCGGCAACGTGGAGTTGTAGCCTCAAGTGTCAGCTTTCCAATGGTTACTGACACTCCTATGAAAAGTCCCTCTCCAGCGAATGAGAACGGTTTTTCATTTGCTCCCTTTAAATCAAGAAGAACCCAACTTTCTAAGCGCTATGATTCGAATATCTTAGTTGCTTTCGAAAATTCTATTTCTTCAGTGTGGTCATAAATTGGTCAGAGAGAAGCTGAACCACTTCGCGAAGGCTTCTTATGGACTGTGAACTGGCGGATGGCATTTCAACCCCACTAATCGTTTGGGCATTGAAAGTCTGGCATCAAATCTAAATTGCATTGCATAGATTTGAATAATTGAGTATTTGAACTCCTTCAGTAGATTGAAGTAAATATACAAACAGGGAAATGCTTTATCGTCAACGTGAAATTTAATCACACCACACCGCACAACATTGGGCGAAGTAGTCCTAGTGTTGTTTAGCTAATCTTGCACAGTATCTTCAGTAAAACTCCAAATCTTCAGTCATCACTTGATCCGCGCTTCCCAAAACGTATGTAGTCGTAGGAGTCTTTTTTCTTCAAATCTGATCGTCCGAATCGTACAAAGTCGTAGTGGCGCTTCACTTAACGAAGACTTCATAATGAATTCTTACACATAAAGTTGATAATGAAACGAAAAAAAAAAAACGACTGGAAAGATTAAAGCTTGGTGGATTTTCTCATCTATCGAAAAACTGCATCATCTGACCTTCCCAGCAAGTAGGAGAAGGCTTACCGATTTATTCTATTCGCTATGATTCGGTATGAGGACATAAGTGGATTAGTTTTATAGGAATAGAATGGCAGCAGTTTTTGATTTTAGCACTTAGCTTTCTTAGAGTTCTCTGCGTGACAGTTACACTAGCAATTTTTTTTACATACTCTCTGTTGGAAAGCTGATTTTCTAACTGAAAAAGAATAGCTCGTCCCAGGTGTTTCGTTGTATATCATTTATTAGCGCGGTGAGGTACTCGTTAATTACTAGTTAAGTTAACTGATTCGAGTTGAGAACTGAGAGTTCTCTTTTCTTCCATGACATAATTGACTCAGAATTCTTTTCGTTTAGAAGTCAATTCGCAATCATCTTTAGGAACTCGTCAACCAATGTTCTACTTGTAATGGCCATGGTTTTCAACTTTTTGAACATTTCAGTATTGGAATCAATTGGAGCGTCACTTCTAAAAGTTGTTGCATTCGAAGTATTATGACTGAACTTACTTTTTACACTTTTTTTTGAACTCTGAATTAGTTCGTACGAATGCCTAGCTGCTAAGTTGTTTACTCAGTTGACTTTAAGAGAAAAACTTTTCAGAATTCGCAAATTGGAAGTCTTAATAGGCAAAGATAGCTCAGACCACAGGTAAAAGCAGTTGTAGGAAGATTGGGATTGAAAAATGCTTCTACTCTTCACCTATCTAGTAATTATATTATTACGTACTATAACATCATGGCATATTGCTAACTAAGAGCGCATATGGCGCAGTGATTAAAGGTGCACTGCGTCACACACAAGGTCGAAAGTTCGACCTCGTGCTCATGGCTCAGCAAGCCATCCATTTCTCTGGAGTTGGCAAATTGCTACCAAACTGGTCCCAGACTTGCCTGGGAAGGTAAGCAGCACTAACTCGATGCAGCGGGAGGCCACTGCGAGTCATTGTAAAGGCCAGATTTGCAATCAATCACCTCGAACAAGTTAGAAATTGAAGACGAATCCATGGCGCATACCTGGATTGATCAACCCCGAGAGCTCTATCCTTTTTTGTCCTTTAATGATAAATAAAATAGTATGCACATAACGACTATGATAAGCTGAACGAATAAACCAAAAAAAAAACTATATTAATATGTACTATTAGGTCACTTTCAAAGTAATTGCGGTCAGCGCATTGTTGAAATGCGCCGTTCCAAAGTGTAATATATTCTCAAATAAAAATGACTATGTTATACATCACTTGAATGCGCATTTCTCGCTTTCTTTTTTTTGCTGATGACGTAATACTTGCTGTTATATTTTATTTAATTAGACTGTGGAAATAATGTTATTTTATGCAAAAGTAATCCGGTTCCAGGTCGTGAATTCAGAATGGGTCGTAAGGCAGCCGAGACAAGCCACAATTTCAGTAACGCATCTGACCCAAGAACTGCTAACGAACGTACAGTGCCGCGGTGGTTCAAGAAGTTTCGTGAAGGAGACGAAAGCTTTGAAGGTGAGGAACGTGATATCCGAACATGAGAATTTGACAATGACTAATTGAGAGCAATCACCGAGGCTGATCCTCTTACAAGATAATCAGTCTAAATTCTTCCTCTTTTGACTGCCACTTGCAGTTGTATGATGTTATACTATACCCAATATGTGGAGTACTGTGCAAAGCGTTTGCGTCAACTGGGATTCGAACCCAGATCTCACTCTTTCCGGGAGCGTATGCTAATCACTGCACTACCGACGCTCAGATGTTGCAGAAGAACTCAACGTCAGTCATTCTCGCATTCAAGTCATTTGAAATAAATTACAAAAGTAAATGCTGTTTCACTATGGCACAAAATCACAATTACTTTTGCCTCAAAATTTTCTGAGATCCATTGTCAACAAGATGTGGAAACCTTAGCAATGTTGGAAAGCACGACGATCATCTAATTTGTGTTACGCACAGAGATTACGGCGATACAATGCGTGCTTATATGTTCAAACTCTAGCGGGCTAACTTAAGTGCAGCTATCTATTATGGTCATTAATCCAAGTGCGCAGTGCAGTGACTAGAGTGCCCCGAAACACGCACGCGGTCGTTGATCTAATTCAGGCTCACCAAACCTTTCACCTTTTCACACTTTTCTAAACTTTGGTGGAAAACTTGTTTGCGAGGACGAAATCATCTCACTCGAAATCTCAGTAGGCACCTGGACGTCATTGTGTTGCCGATGTATGCATTAAAACACCACTACAATGCTCAATGAAGTATGGCCCAAGCATGCATTGAATACCACCACAATGCTTAATGGAACTGAATGCATGACGCAAACATCAGAGAGTAATCCACGTGATCTTGATATCATTCCGTAACCGTTATTCCGTACGCGTACTTAAGCAGTCTGCCTTTACAGGAAATTGTATATCATCGAGCGAGATCTTCACAAGACTCCAGTAATTAGATACTCAGAACCTTTTACAAATACGACATATTTGCTCAAGCCTAAATTCTAATCTATAATTTTCTCGCAAGTAATGCAAATATCGTCAAAAAGCATCCGGCCTCGTACTGGATTCTTAGATTGCTGCGATATTACGCACGTTTGGATTACACGAAGTCGTTTGTCTCGTTTTATGTTGAAGATATATCTTGGAAATGGTCAAAAATTTGGGGCTTTTGATATTCCCGGGCAGAAAACGAATTTCGTCTAGAATCTGGGACACGTTAGAAATCATAAATGTTGTTAAATGAAAATCTTGAGTGAAAGCAGTAGTCTTTCAATCTGAGAAGTCTAGCTAATAAGGAACTGAGAAATGGAAAACCACTGTAAGAAGCTAATAATTAGTTGGGGGACTTTTTCGTGGGACGAAAATGGCAAGTACATTAGAAATGTTGTGTACAAACGAAGAGAGCTGAGGGAGACAAGAGAGCGGCTTCAAGGTGTAATATTTGCATTTCGTTTAGTTACATGACGCATTCTTACATAATGTACAATTCGGTTTACTCGTTATATTGAGTTTACCATCAGGTATCCGTCACTAATAAAGACCATAGGTTTTTTGGGTGAGTTTGGCTTACCCTCAAAGAATCTCTCTTCTCCATTAATGTAGCTAAATTTTGATTATGCATGACTTAATATGATAGCTCGACTCCATCAGAGGTAGTTACCAACCTTTGTGGCAAGGCGACAGATTTTCTCAAACTAAGTTGTTATGTGTACCTAGCGATCACGAAGGGACAAGAAACTCAGTTAAGCTGGGAGGGATTCGAACTGTCGTGCGTGTAGCCCTCCATCTCTAATCGTTGCGTTTTCTGAGTCCTATAAAGTATAATTAGTTGCGGAAAGGAAAATCATGTAATACGAAGAATAGACAAGCAACGAATGGGATTTTTTCTACGTACTACTTCACTGTACGCAAGCTGCAGGATGGACTATCCGCGAAAAATAGGGAATTAACAGATAATTGACCGGTATTGAAGTATATAGCCGAGTAAGTTACTTTATTTGGGCAATGCTTCAATCAAAGTAGTCGGCTCAACACAACTACAAAAACCCATATCAAGTGGAAGAACGTAAGAACTTCTGTCGACTAGTGATTTGGATCGTCAGTTGAAGAAGAGAAAGACGTCGAAACGGTAGCCAAATAAAGAGTACTTTGCTTTTCGCTCTACAGACCCAATCAATGCCATGAAATAAAAGAGCTATTCGTGAAAAAGGAAGTTTCTTCTAGTCTTCAAGAGCAGGTGATCGTATGTCATCGCATGTGATTTAAAAGGCGATTTTCCATTACACAGACTTCCTGAAGTTATGAAGGGTAGAGTACCATCAATAAAAGTAGTAAAAAGATTAAGGGATAAAGCACTTGACATTAATTATTCTCTGAGAGATGCGCCATATATGGACATCATTAGGCTTCGTTAAAGAGATTTATACATGTGTGGCTTATAAATCTACTCGTCGTGATTTAGTGATGTGACAAGTCACTGCCGCTATAGCTGCAAACAAGTTTTGTGGTTCACCAGTCACGGAGGGATGAAAGATTTTGCCAGCTCGAGGTGAGGTCGAAGTCACAGGTAATGGCATATTCTATCCTTATTCAGGACGAGATCGAAGAAACTAGAAGACCAATGACAGTAGTGAGAAAAAAGAGACTTAATGAGGACCTGAAGAGAGGGAAATGAAGATTTAAAGAGTGGGAAAGGAACTTTTTCACAAAAACAAAGTCGTCTTTTGCTAGCTGTTCGTGTTTATTTCTTAATGAGGATTAGAGTACTATAACACCGGTGCGAATCTGGTATGAGACAAAGCCGAGCTCATGGTCGGATCGTCGTACTAACAATCTTGTTTTCTCTTTCCATAATCACTGTTAACACCTGATTCCCACATTTGCGCCTGTGAATAGTGGCGATGGAGCGGTGAATTCGTCGCCTTAGTATCACTCTCTCGTGTAGTAGTATTAGCACGACAATAGTTTCTACCTTCTTTCACCAAGCGAATAAAGCTGCGTAATTGGAAGTCATTATGAAAGTTGATCTACCTGTTGCAATTTTTCTACTCTTCTTGCTGTTCAACTAATTATATAATATATTTTTTTGCTGGAAATAATTGGAAGAACTTACTATGAGACTTCTCAGGACCGACGTTATATTGACAGTCTATTGATGTGCATGGTAAGGAATAACTGCAACAGATCGAAAGAATTGCGGCAAGTAAAAGTAAGTAGGTGATAGCAGACATCTTATGAAACGAGGAACCAGTCCTCTCTACCTTTTGTTGAGAAATGGTTGTATCTTGGGGCGGAGCTCGTTGAGAAGGTGTCTGCAAGAGACGAAATGAGCATTGATGAATGGGCTGATTTCTCTCTCTCATTACCATTAAATTAGAGAAGGTGAATGAAACGAGCGGAATTGTTTTTTGGCAAAATCATAAAAAGTATTCAGCACATGCTTCTCCTAAGCAATTTCCTTATCCACCAAATATTGTGGACATCGAGCTATCGATATCTTCTAGCAGGAGCAAGCTCTCTGTTGAAATTTTTAGTGAGATACTTGGACGGTCCGTCTTCACTAGTTGTGCGGATCCCAGTACATGTTTCATCAACTTCTTTGTTTCGCGGTACTCGTCCATGGCGGCTGTTCAACTTGAGAATGGTGGCTGGTGTGAGTGTCATGCCGTGATCTGTTAAATATCGACAGTTGCGAGTACAACTAATTAATTCTTCTTAGAAACACGTCCGCCCAACGTCTGGATAGTTGGCCTCGAGGATGCTTACATTGTCGTGGCATCCACTCTACATTTTTTTTTCGTCCACCTGTCGTCTGTTCTTTTCAATATATGACCGACCAAGTCACCTGTGCTTTCGTATAGATGCATAATCCACTGGCTCGCGAAAATGGGATACACTTCGAAGATCTGAACTACGTAAGCCGGCTAGGTGTTGTGTGCGCCGACTATATATTCAGAAGACATCGTAATAGCGCCCTGTGAGTTGATTGTAGCAGTCTTGACGTGGTCGAAGTATCAACTCACGTTTTATCTGCGTAGCAAAGCGCTGGGAGGACCACGCAATCCAAAAGGTGAGCACGAAGTTTGCGGACCGTTAGTTGGCTGATGGCTCTTTGCTAGGCCCGAATGCGGTCCATGCTGCTCTCCTTCTTCTATCCATTTGTTTCTTCATGTTGTTTTCAATGTTGAACGAACGCTCAAGGTACACGTACGAAGTGGTTTCTGCAATTATAGAACCATACATTTCGACTTGTTCACCATGAAATTTGAGAAAATAAATCCTGTAGCCACCATATACAAATTTTTGCTCAAAATGATATCGCTTTAATAACTATGTCCTCTTGTTGTTATATGAAATTAAGGGGGATGGACATGACACCCTAACGATTTGCCTTTCTAATATCCAATATGGTGTTTTATGATGACGGATTGAACAGCACCTTCTCCGGAGAGAATAAGACTTGAATACTGAAGAATTGTGGCTCACACAGTATCTGTCGAAATTCAATGTTCCTTCTTAGTGGGGAAACCAGCATGACCCATTTGTAACAAGAAAAGAAAGGCGTTCTTGCTTAATTTATCTGCATGTGTCCTCTCCGAAAAGAAAAAGGAAAGAATGAATGATGTGATGCTCTTCTAATCTCGTGAATGAGAGGAAGCCACAATACAAAGGCGCGATGAAACTGATATAGTATTGTGTTGGTATTCCTCTATCAATCTTATATGAAAATATGTATGTAAACGTATGAAAATTACAGACGGCACGAAAGTGAATAAGGCAGTACCAAAAATGTCGTCCAGTAATGCGGTTAAGGCCAGGCGTTAGAACCTACCCTGCGCCTAGAAAGCTTTCCATCTCTGCAACGGTAGGAAGCCGCTGGGTTGTTTGGTAAAAACACCTAAGCCATCGTAGTTGATGACAGTTGCAATGACTCTTTGAAAACACTCTGAAGCGGCCATTCCAGAATTCCAAGGAGAATCTACTATATCTAAGGGTTTCACAAAGAACGCTGAAACCTCACGAGTTAATTACAAATAGCAAGGGCAGATCATATAAGGTTTTTGTGCTGAGTAGAGGTTTCTCTGAAATTCTAAGCGCCTAGTAACTTGCTTTAGGTTGACAGTTATGCAAAAAAGTGTAATAATTCTATCAAAACTTTGCATTACTCATTAGCATGTCGCAGTATATGATTACGAGTTGACTTTTGTTTACCGACCTGAGTCAAGCATTGTAATTTCCTTAGTCTAAAGCGCA